GCTGATGGTGATGTAATACGACCCATTCCATGTACGTATGATATGTGGCATTTAGTTTCATTTATGTTTTCCTTTACCCAAGCATATCATTGACTAGAAAAATGTCCTTAGGATCCGTAGATTAGCACATTTGACCAATTGCATAAAGTCAACAACTATGGTGATTGGTTGACATGACATATGTCAATTTTTTAGAAAGGGGGAACATGGGGAGTTGCATTGGATGATGCCGTGTTCTGGTCTGATAGACTTGCTCTACAAGTATTTCGTGGGCCCACTTTCCAGAAGAGTATTTCGTGGGCCCTGATCCGATGAAAAGTATTTCTTGGGCACCAGGTTATTGGTTTTTCACCGGTAATAACAGGTTGTGGGTTCGGCGGCTGAGGTTGCTTTGGGTGCGGCTCCCACATGGACTTTTTCATAAGGCCAATTTAGACTAGTGTGAACACTTTTGATGAGACCATACAATTTCTTTTTTTTTTTCTTTTCTTTTTTGGATTTTGGTGAGACAACAATTTTGACTTCCTAAAAAAACAAAACCAATAATGAAAAATTTGAGCCACGACGTGCCTTTAATGGACCCTCTTTATTTTTAGAATTCAACTCAATTCATGAGTAATCTTATATACTCGAGTACGTGTTAAAAAATTATTATGGGTACTAAAGTTTAGGGTAATTATATTACCAAATTTTATATTTTTTGGTATTATACTAAAAGTAATTGATTAAAATAATTTATAATTGATCATGAAATGTTGTGATTGATCATTAATTATTTGAACGAATTGTAACTTCTCTTTTACAAATTATAATTTTTATGATCGACTAAAATATTTTGAAATCAATGATGCTGGTAACTTTCACCTCAAGGTCCTTTTTTTTTTTATAGGACGTGCAGACTTGCGTTTAGTCGTTGACTAGTCTCTCGAGCTCAACGACTAACAATTGTGGCTTAAGCTGATATAAAACATCTCTTTAAAGAATAAAGGTGATTATCTCTTATGTGGTGTAAAAAAAATTGAACCTAAATATTTGGGTTATCAAATAATGTCTAACCACCAGAGATTCTTAATACGTGATTTGGTATGATTGTTACTTTCTTTTCGAAAATAAGAAAATTGCATGACTTGTGTTTAGTGAACAGAGACATATTTATGTCACTCAAATTAATAACTTTGCTTAGAATTAAAGGTAAAATCTAAAATATGAACCACGGCAAAGTCCTGAACCACGATGGTTACTTTCCGCTCAGGTCTAAACCGTGAATCAAAATGCCAAGTAGTCTAAATCTGATTAATCAGCCCCTCGTGGCTTGAGAGTGGTAGAAAAAGAAAGTGCAAGGAAAGAGGGAATTGGCAACACATAAAAGTCAAACCAGGAGTCAGGAGATCGTGCAACGAAGACCAATTCCGAGTGAGTCACCTTCCCATACATGAAAGACTGACCGGTTATCGCCGGTGAACATCGGAGTACCATCGGCTCACTGACACCGTCACTGGCGTACTGCTTCAGCGAAGGTTCTGGCTAGCTGCCTTACAGAAGACAAGTCTCTTCAGTCTTCACTCTCTTTTTAAAGAGGACCTTGCCTCCTGCATTGAATAAGTTCACATCTCTCCCACCTTCCACTACTCTCTGTCATCTTCTCAGGTACCTAATAAACAAAATGCCTTTTCGTCTCTTTCATTCCTCTTCTTCTATAGATTAATGAAATACAATGGATGCTTTTAGCTGATTTTAATTTGATTATGATATTATAGCATGGTTTCTTTCCTCTGATCATTCCTCTCTTTCACGCTTTGGGTTTTGTTATTTGCTGTTTCATTGATAAATCTTCCTTATTTTTCCCAAAAAGAGAGAGTATATATATCTATACCTATAACATGTTTAGGTTTCATATATTTGTATGCCTAATTATGAGAGTATGTTTGTGTATAAGTGTTAATTTTGTTTGCTGTGATCAGTTGTGGCGGTTATAGGGATTTGAGAAATTTGTTTTCAAATGATTTGATGCAGGGATCTTAATAGCTTTGGGCATATCTTAGTTGTTTTTCTCTCTAAATTCCCTTTACGATGACGGGGTATTGCTTCTCTTCTCCATGGTAGGGACCGTAGGGTAGGCTCAGTAAGGTCCTAGCTTTATAGACAGATTCTGTCTCTGGGTATTTTTCATATCTCTTTTTTTTTTTTTTTTTTTTTTTGTGGATTTGCTTTAGGTGCTGTTAGTTTAACATAATTGGTATTTTGAATGTAGATTACTTCTCGTTCGTTGAGGTGTGGCTTCTATGCTCTATCACGCTGTTGATCTATGCTTGAACGTTTAAAGAATCCACTTATTTTCTACTTTTTAATTAGGTTGAGGCTTATTGGGGATGACTTTTACTTTGATTTATATAGGGTGTTTGAAGCATCCATGGTTATGGATCCACGCTTCAGTGAATTCTCTGATTCAGCAAATGGTTTCAATTTTGATGATGCCACCATTTTACCCAGTTTTGACAAGTCTCAGAACCTAACCGATGTATTTAAAATTCAAGATGACTCCTTCGATATCAGTTTCATGGATGTTCTTTCCCTTCCTACCAGTCCAGATTTTGGCACTAGTTTCACTTCCTCTTCAAGTGTGAGCTCGGAACTGAACTCCCCAGATGATCATGACTCCGATCCTGTGCTCAAATTCCTTAACCAGATATTGCTGGAAGAGAACATCGAGGAGAAACCCAGCATGTTCCACGATCCTTTGGCTCTACAAGCCACTGAGAAATCATTGTATGAGGTCCTTGGTGAGAAGTATCCTCCTTCACCCTACCATCCACCCTCAATATCCATTGACCAAAATGTTGAAAGCCCGGGGGATTATTTTGGAAGCTCCAGTGACACCACAAACAGCGGTAGTAGTGGTGGAACTTCCATTGATCCTCATAGGATTGTCGACCCTGGAGATTATATATTGTCCATGAGACAAAGTCATTCTTTGGAGTATCCTTTCCAGTCAAATTTGCAGACCATTTCACAGTGGTCATTTGGCACTGTAAACAGTTTCAGTGATGATGCTAAAAGCCAATGGGATTCTTCTGCTAGTCCTGATCTGGTTCCAAATATTTTCAGTGACAGGGAATCTATCTTACAGTTCAAGAAAGGGATGGAAGAAGCTAGCAAATTCCTTCCAAGTGGTAATCAATTAATAATAGATTTGGATAGGTACAACTTGCCTCTAGAAACGAGGGAAGCAGCTCCAGAGGTTGTAGTCAAGATGGAGAAGGACAAGAGGGATTATTCACCTGATGGCTCGAGGGGAAGGAAGCACCATCATCCGGGGAATAGTGATTTAGAAGAAGAGAGGAGTAGCAAGCAGTCAGCGGTTTATGTCGAAGAAGCCGAGTTATCAGAGGTGTTTGATAAAGTTCTCCTTTTTAATGATGAGATAGGGGTGCATGCGAGTTGCAATAGCGATACTGACAAAGAAGTGGAATCGCTAAATGGGCCGGTCAAGTCCCTACAGCAGAATGGACAACCACATGGATCTAGTGGTGGAAAGACACGTGGTAAGAAACAGGGCAATAAAATTGAAGCTGTGGATCTGAGGACTCTTTTGATTAACTGTGCACAATCTGTTGCTGCTGATGATCGCAGGACTGCATATGAACAACTAAAGCAGATTAGGCATCATTCTTCACCTTCCGGTGATGCTTATCAGCGGCTGGCCTATATCTTTGCTAACGGTCTTGAGGCACGTTTGGCTGGCACTGGAACACAGCGTTATGCAGCTCTTGCTTCCAACAAGAGGATTTCAGCAGCTGAGAAATTGAAAGCCTACCAGCTCTATTTTTCAGCCTGTCCATTCAAGAAGATTTCGATGTTCTTTGCAAACAAAATGATTTTTGATATGGCATCCAGCGCTTCAACGCTGCATATTGTAGACTTCGGTATCTCATATGGTTTCCAGTGGCCCATGGTTATCCAACACCTTCCAACCAGGCCTGGTGGCCCTCCAAAGCTTCGAATTACTGGAATAGAGCTTCCCCAACCTGGTTTCCGACCTTCTGAGTTACTTGAGGAGACAGGGCGTCGTCTGGCAAAGTATTGTGAGCGCTTCAATGTTCCCTTTGAGTATCATGCCATAGCAACGCAGAATTGGGAGACAATCAAAGTTGAGGATCTCAAGATTCGGAGCGGTGAGATGCTTGCTGTGAACTGTATGTTTCGATTTGGTAACCTTCTTGATGAGACAGTAGATGTAGACAGTCCAAGGGATGCTGTTCTAAAATTAATCAGGCAGATGAATCCAGATATTTTCATCCACGCTCTTACTAGTGGATCTTACAGTGCTCCCTTCTTTGTCACTCGGTTCCGGGAGGCGCTTTTTCACTACTCTTCATTGTTTGATATGTTCGAAACTAACATATCCCGTGACAATCAGCTGAGGATGGATTTTGAGCAAGAGTTTTACGGGCGCGAGGCCATGAATGTCATTGCATGTGAAGGCGCAGAGAGGGTTGAAAGGCCTGAGACATACAAGCAGTGGCAGGTTCGCACAATGAGGGCCGGTTTCAAGCCCCTTCCATTGGACCAGCATCTGTTGAAGAAATTGAGGGGTAAAGTGCAGGCGGGGTACCACCAAGATTTTGTTTTCGATGAAGATAGTTATTGGATGTTGCAGGGATGGAAAGGTCGAATTAGCTGTGCTAGCTCCTGTTGGGTACCTGCCTAGAACACCCTCTATTGCATTTTATGATATTGCATGGATATGGATATACACTCACTCACCCAACAAGCTCAAACGCATGAATGTTGATGTATGTGTATTCAATTTTGTATTACTTATGCTTAGACTAGATTAGCAATTCGACTCTCAAACTATAACACTAGTTTTAATTCAGTCCTTAAATTAAATTTATGTCTATATGTTTGAGTGTGGCCTAATTAATCATCATCATAAGCTAAACTCAGGAGAGCAGTCTGAATGTCGGGTATCACCCCGATTAATAAATGCTTTCAGCACTTTAGCCCAACCCACATACATATACCAGATTTGAAATTGGCAACCTCCCTCCCTCCCTCCCTAGTGAGGGGTGCAACTTTGAAATTGGCAACCCACTCTTACTTAACTCGGCTGTCAACCTAAGCTGTGAAAGTGAAACTCTCAACCTCAGTCCACCTGATGACCCAACATGAGTATAGTTCGAATTCAAATTGAATTGTGAGGCAAAGAGCACAATTGGGCCGGTCGGCATGTTACTTGGGCCAGAACATTGCTGGTAAACACCCTCCAAAGGCAGGTCCCTGCCGGTTGGCTCCTCACACCCAATGCCACCGATGATTAGCCACCTCCGAGCCACTACAACCTCTCTCTGACCCATCTCTGCTAGGAGAGTCCTACTCGAATAGGGATCAATCTTAGATCTAGAGTCTTAGTACAATACTATTCTGAACAACTAGGAGTAAATGATAAAGACCTAGGAGCAAGTGTACTAGTCTAACTCTATCCCAAATAACTAGGGATTGATAATGAGGTCTATTTTATCACAACACAGAATTCGGGTTTATTTGGAACACAACTTCCTACGTAAATAATGGCCTCCGGGTACCAGGTAAGAGATTCAACCCTAACCTATTCACTCCATAATCTTCTTTGGCTTGCGATCTGACTTGAGCATTAGAGTCATTTTGGTCGCCTCAAGCCATCAGTTCACTTACGTGTTCTTTTGTCTTGTTCGTTACTCATGACTTTCTCACCGTCCTCTCCATCCATACAAAGTGGTGAATTGAAATTATTCCCCCACATGAATTGATTTTTATTTTTCAAGCTCAATCTGAGTATGCATCTCTGTCTAATTGTTCAATTTCTTCGGGTTGAGATTGGCAGATTGGTCCAAGCTGCACCTTTATGTATGATGTAATAATAATGTTAGGGAACGTGTCTATTGGTGCCACTCTTGATCTCCCATCCTTTATATCGATCCAGGATTGTCCTATGGAGCGAGTGGGGAGCAGTACTTTAAACATTTATTTTTGAGCAAGCCCTAAACAATTGAAAAATCTCATTTATTATACTACTATTTGATGTAAGTATCCTTGAACAAAGCAAGCTCACCTCCCTAAATTTTTGAAAATCTAAAAGATTCTCTTCTTATGCTAAAATCCTGGATCTGTCCATCGACTGGATTTGCAATTTTTTGCTCATGTGAAATTAACAATGTGGATATGGTGTTCTTAACTGTTATAAATCAAGGCCACAAGTAAAGTAATAATATAATGAAATAAAAAAAAATTTAAAAAATTAATATGGTTCGGCTCAGCAGGTAAGTTTATGTCCACGAACGAAACACAGTAACAAGTTTTCAATATTAAAATTTGGACATTACAAGATCATTCTTGATAACAAGCAATTAGAGAATGTACATACTCACTCTATCACAATGTATAACTGTATGTATATTGCTCCCTGATGAGAACCCCAAAAAGAATAAAACTAGAACCACCCAACTGACAATGAAAGAATTCTTGTACAACACCTCACTACAACCTTCTGAACATGAGCTATATATTTTCTCTTGTCAGTACATCACAAGACCTCAAAGCGATGTTGAACAAAAGCATTCTTTGTCCTATTCAAGGTCAAATATGTGGAGATAAATTTTATCTCATGTAGGAGACGTGTTACACCATCCAATCATTCTTTGGCTTTGGAATATTTTAATTCTATAAACTCAAAATATGTTTCATGGATTGCCGATCAAATAGGATCCAAGCTACAGTGGGGATACAAGTCATATCAACAAATCTCCACCTTATCTTGTATTCCATCAAGTTATCCAATCAAATTGAAATTGACCATTGCCTTCGTCAAATACCCTGCAAGAAATTCAAATAGTGCAAACACCAATCACTGCTTGGACTTGAGCACTGATACTGATACCGACTTAATAAACATATCTGATGAGTTCTCCATTATGAAAGCTTTATTCACTGTGACAATACCTTGAACCATAACCTCACGAAGGAAGTGATGTCTAACATCAATGTGTTTAGTCTTTTCATGATACATTTGATTTTTGGTCACATGTATTGTACTTTGACTATCACAAAATATAGTAGTCACCTCCTCTTCCAAACCCAAGTCACAGAACAAACCTTTCAATCAAATTACTTCTTTAACTGCCTCTAATATTATCGTGTATTCTGCCTCTCTAGTAGACAAAACAATTATAAACTGTAGGATCGTCTTGCAAATTACAATACACCCAAAAAGAATAAAAACATAACATGTCAGAGATCTCGTATGTAGATCACCCACATAATCTGAATCAACATAACCAACAATTGTAAAATTAATATCATTTCTTCTACTAAAAACTAAGCCAACATCTGTAATGCCTCTCAAATATCAAATTATAAATTTCACAACATGCCAATATAAACCTTCCTAAGGTTAGCCCTGTACGGCTAACCATACTCATTGCCTATAAAATATCTAGACGAGTGAAAACCATAGCATACATGATGCTCCCAACTACATTATAATAAGGAACATAAGACATAAACTACTCCTCATTCTCACTTTGTAGTGATAAAGCTACTGAAAGCCTGTAGTAAGCCGCAAGTGGAGTACTCATGAGCTTTGAATTCTGCATCCCAAACTACTCAATACCTTTCTCAATATATTTCTTTTGAGACAAATTCAACGTACCTACTTTCCTATTCCTGTGAATCTCCATACCCAATTTTTTTTCCAGCACCCAAATGTTTCATCTTAAATTCTGAATTCAACTGTTTCTTCAACCTGTCAATCTCTAACATGTTTTTAGCAAAAATAAGCATATCATCTACATAAAGCAACAAATATATAAAATAAAAATCTAACAACTGCCTCTAATACACATAACTATCATAATTATTTATAGAATAACCATGATCTACCAAAAAAAAGTGTCAAAATATTTGTACCACTACTTTGGATACTTTTTCAAATCATATAATATTTTTTTCAACAAGAAAACATGATCTTCTTTATCTTGAACAATAAATTCCTCTAGTTGATGTATAGATACTTTCCTCGAGCTCACCATGTAGAAAAAGTACATTTACATTAAGTTGCTCAAGTTTTAGATTGAGTGAAGCAACCATGACAAGCAATACACGAATAGAATTATGTTTCACAACTGGTGAGAAAACTTCATTAATGTCCACACCATCTCTCTAACTGAATCTCTTTGTAACTAATCGTGTCTTGTACCTTGTAGATTCAACCTCTAGAATTCCTTCCTTTTTTCTTGAAGACCCATTTACAACCAACAACCTTCATGCCCTTAGACAATTTCATTAATTCTCAAGTCTGCTTATGAAGAGATTTGTTCAGTAATAGCAATGGCCCAATGTGCAAACTCACTACCTATGACAACTTCTAGATATGTGGAAGGCTCTTGAACACCAATTTTCTTTGCCAAAGTAAATGCATAAGCCACCAAATCTGCATAACCATATTTCTAAAGGGGTCTCACTTGTCTCATCTCCCTGTCAGTTGCAATACTATACAACTGCTCCTCCTGTGGATCTTCACCAAAACTAGATACACGTAAATCAGTAATATATTCACCCGGAGTACTTTGAAGCTTCTACCTATTGCTCCACCTCCTTGCTATAACTCTATTCTTTCCCTACAGAAACAACAAACTCCTTTCTCAGATAAAACATGGAAGATTCATCAAATACAACATTCCTACTGACTATAAATTTAGGTAATTTAGGATCAGAACACCACAATCTATATTATTTCACACCATTTACATAACCAATAAATATGAACTTTTTAGCCCTTGGCTCAAGCTTTCCATTAGTCATATGACAATAAGCAGTTCAACCAAATATTTTCAAATTAGAATAATCAATACGAGTAGCAGACCATTCTTCAACTCAATAATAGTGGATGAAGAACAATTAACCAAATAACAAGCAATGTTGACTGCCTCAGGCCAAAAATTCTTAAACAAACTTGCATTAGAGAGCATGCAACTTGTTCTCCCCAAAAGAATTCTATTGATCATATCTACAACCCCATTTTGCTGTGAAGTAGACCGGACAGTTCGATGCCTGACAATGCTTTCCTTTCTTCAAAACTTATTAAACTCACCTGCACAAAATTTCAAACCATTATCTATTTTGGGACACTTGACTTTCTTGCCTATCTATTTCTCAATCAAAATCTTCTATTGCTTGAAAGTCACAAAAACATCACTCTTGCATTTTATAAAATACACTCAAACCTTTCTTGAATAATCATCAATAAAAGTCAAAAGATACCGAGCGCCACCTTTAGATGGAACTTGAGAATGACTTTAAATGTATGAATAAATATAATCAATTGTACCTTTAGTTCTGTGAATAGCTATATTGAACTTGACTCTGTACTATTTTCTGAAGATACAATGCTCTTAAAAATCAAGCTTTCCAATTTTCTATTTCTCAAGCAAACCCTGTTTACACAAGACTATCATGCCCTTCTCGCTCATGTGGCCTAAACACATATGCCATAACTAGGTAGTATCATAATCTGAATTTTTTAAGATGAAACACCAATTGAACCAATCACAATATCATCTAAAGAACATAGAGAACATTAATTTTTTTTTTTACCTTTTATCACAACTAGGGAAACTCTGCAAACTTTCATAACTCCACCTTCAACAGAAAACTTGTAAACAATGGAATCTAAAGTACCCAGAGAAATTAAATTCTTCTTTAATTCTGGAATGTGTCGTACATCTGTCAAAGTCCTTACAACCCCATCATGTGTCTTAGTTTGAATAATACCTATTCCAATAGTCTTGAAACCAATATTATTTTTCATCGAGATTGAACCACCATTGATTGACTCATAGGTGGTGTTGGAGTAAAAAAATGTGTCAAACTGTTCTGAAACCTATTTGCAATTGATTTGGGCCTGGCTACACCTTTTCCCCTAGCTTTGGGTGAGGTTTTCAGCAGTTGTGGTTCCTAAAAAGAAAGTCAAAGATCGGAGGGGTGCTTCGGGGGTCAACCCTCTCACACTCAAGTTAGTATTTAAAAAATTAAGGTGCATCAATTGAACTGAGCTTAGTGTGCTTCCCTAGGTCATACTCTGGATGTCTCCTTTTATAGTATTTTGATAGGTGTTCTATGGCGAGTAGACTCCAGACTTTCCTGCTAATTTAAATTTGTTTGATCTCCTTTTGGTTGAGGATTCTTTACTTCTATGGACTTTATTCTTTGTTGGGATAGCCATCCAGAATCCTAACTATACTAGGAGTCTGTTTGATCATGCGGATAAGGTTTGCCAAGGGTAGGATCTTATCTTTATCCCTTGGCTGCCTTATCTTCTTCACAATATTTAAACGAAT